CAGCAGGGAAAACATGTCAGCGGATCAGATTATAGCCATCGTGGTGGATGACAGAACCTACGAGGTGAATAAAAGGAAGCTGATCGAGAAAAGCGACTACTTCCGAGCGCTGTACAGCTCCGGGATGAGGGAGTCCACGGAGGACTCCGTCCAGCTGCACGGGCTGAGCATCCCGGGCCTGGAGCTCGTCTTGGAGTTCATCAACACCTCAAACGTCCAGGTGGTCAACGAGACACTGGAGGATCTGATCGAGACCGCTTCCTTCCTGCAGGTCACCTCCATCATGAAGCTGCTGAGCTCAGAGATCCGGCCGGAGAACTGCGTTGAACTTTACAGCCTTTCTGAAGTTTATGGGACCCACGATCTGAGGAACGCCTGCCTCAAATACATGAGCTGCTACCATCATCCGATGCTGCGGCGGCCTGAGTTCCAAAGTCTGCCCCCAGCTGTGAGGGATCAGGTCCGGGAGATGCGCATGAAGGGCACCGCCACCCTGGTGGCCATCGGAGACTTCAAATGTCTGTCCCTGGATGTGCCCGAGCAGGACGAACCGTGGTCTATGCTTCGGTACGGAGAGGTGGAGCAGCGGTGGAAACCTCTGGCCAACAACCTGACCTCAGACATGATCAACGTCAGGGGGTTTGGATCTGCAGTCCTGGATAACTACCTGTTCATAGCGGGAGGATACAGGATGACAAACCAGGAGATCTCTGCAGTGCATTGCTACAACCCCTGCAGGAACGAGTGGAGCCAGGTGGCTCCTCTCAATCAGAAACGGTAGCCTTCCTGTGATGTGTTTGATTGGAAATTAGTCATTTTGATTTTGGGGGCGTTCAATAAGCAATGCCCCTGACCCACTTCCAGATGTTTGATCCAGCTGAAAATGTGCATGTGAAGTATTTTAAATCTCTATAGATAAAATAGCAAACTCCAGCTCTGAACCAATTGTGGTTTTTGATTTACAGGTGTTCAAATTGAGTCTGAGTTTGGGAGACTTTTGATCAAATGAAAGTAACTTATAGTGTATAACCTTGTAAAACATTTGCAAGGTCATATAAAGGGCATCATCACCATAAGTTACTTTAATTTCATCAAAAGTCTCCCCTGGTGTGAGTCCTTTCCAATAGAAAAACCAGATCACTGCTCGACACTCAACAGGCTCCATTTTAGACTTTTTTCCCCCTGTTGGATCACTATAGATTGACCCAGAGGTTCTGGTGCCGATCCACTTTCGGCCACCCTTCAGCGTACATTGGTTGTGGCCTGGTCACCCTTATAGTGATAATTATGGGACATTATCACTATAAGTTCTTTCATTTGGTCAAAAGTCTCCGAAACTCAGACTCAATTCAAACACCTGTAAGTCAGAACCCACAAATAGTTCAGAGCTGTAATTTGCTACCTAAACTACAGAGATTTAAATAACGTCACATGCAAAATTTCAGCTCGATCAAACATCTGGAAGTGGGTCAGGGGCATTACTTATTGAACGCCCCTCCTACAATAAGTACAATAACTTATTTTAAACTACATTTTTTTTATTCTCCTGCCTTTCAATCCAACAACTTTAAAGGGTTAGCCTGTAATTTGTACCTAGTTTTAGTAAATAATGGGATTTAGAGAATAAGATTAATTGCCAATTAGGTTTGCACTTACAAGTACACACATTTGTTACTTAAGTAGAAATATAGATACTGCAGTTTAAAAACACTCCGCTAAAAGTTGAAGTATCAACTTGACCTCTTTACTCATGTAAAAGTGAAAAAGTATGTGCTCCAAAAACTACTTAAAGTATAAAAGTATAAAGGTGCAGGTGAAAATGAGGAGAGCACTATAGATGCTTCCTTTCCAAATGCTTAAACATTCCCAGCCGTCTCCTCCCGGCCCCCTCCGGCTTCCACACCTTCTCCAGCATCGTCTGTCGCTGCTAAACCTGCCGATGGCACCACTGCTGCTTCAACGACGTCAGCCTCTGTTGAAGCTACCACCCTCACAGCATCATCATCATCATCATCATAGTCCTCTTCCTCCCCTGAGTCAGGAGCTGGGGGCAGTACTAGTAGCAGCTCAACACTTGCTGCTTACCTTATCAAGGCTGCACTTTAAAAAATAAATTGTCTAGAGAGCTGTTCTAAACGAAATTTCTTTTTGTCTACACTTGTGTATACAAAATTACAAAATAAATCTAAAGTAACCTTTAAAAAAAAACAGCCAGATGCCACTATATGAATTTAAAGCTCAATTTTCTGACTATTTCAAAAAATTCTTTGATAGGGCAAAGGATGAGGGAGGTCTTGTTGGTCTCAGTCTCCATCTCAGATACACTCTCGCCTGTGTCCGACCTTCCAAACATCTTTTTCTGAATCCATCATTGTAGCATGGCATAGACAATTCACATTTGCAGTTTGAAGAACACCTGCTTGCTTCTGATGATTTCCTTTAGCTAACCAATGAGTGTTTGCGTTCTATGACTCATCCAATGACACTAGTTTTTACTAGATGTGGATGGAGCCAATGATCTGCATTGGATGGAGCACATGACGGGAAATAATATTTATAAACATTAAACCGAAGCCAAGAGTAACGAGTAACATTTGTTTTAAAAATGTAAGGGGTAGAAAATACAGATACTTGTGTGAAACTGTAATGAGTAGAAATAAGGCGTAGGAAGAAAAATAAGTAATGGAATGTAAATTATAGATACCTAAAAAGTGTACTTAAGTACATTAACAAAGTATTTGTACTTTGTTACTTGACACCTTTGCTTACAAGGAATTTGACTTTGCGTTGATGATGCAGACAAATTAGATATATATTTATATACAGAATCTACAGCTATATACAATATAAAACATACAATATACAATATATAGTATATGATAATTGTATGTTTGTTTTGTGATTGTTACATTACTTTTGCAACATAAATAATCGTCACGTTTCGATGTCCTTGTCTTCATATCCAGGTCAAACTTTAAGCTGCTTGCTGTGCAGGGGAAGCTGTACGCTGTGGGAGGTCAGTGTCTGGGCACTGTGGAGTGTTACGGCCCTGAGCAGGACTGGTGGACCTGTGTGTCGTCTATGCCCGACCCCCTGGCTGAGTTCTCAGCCTGTGAGTGTCAGGGTATGATCTACGTCATGGGAGGATACACTGCAAGAGGTTTGTATCTTAACAGATTTATTGACGGCTGTGAAGTTCTTGTTCATGTAATGCATTTTTTGACAGATAGAAACACCAGCGTTCTACGGTACTGCCCCACCTCCGACAGCTGGTCGGTGTTCCAGACGTGTCCGGCTCACATCCGGAAGCAGCAGATGCTCTCTGTGGAGGACACCATCTTCCTGGTGGGCGGCTACACCCACGAACTTGAAGCAGGCCGGAGGCAGCGGCGTCCCAGCCAGACAGAGGACGTTCTGACGGTGCAGTCATACAACGTCTCAACGGGGGAGTGGACCCATCTGAAGGAGAACACATCCAAGTCAGGCTTGAACCTGACGTGCACGCTGCACAACGACGGCGTTTACATCATGAGCCGGGACATTGGGCTGCCCACCAGCCTGGAGCACCGCGTCTTTCTGAAATACAACATATTCTCTGACGCCTGGGAGGCCATCAGACGCTTCCCGGCTTTGGGGCAGAACATGCTGCTCTGTTCTCTTTACCTCCCCAACACTGTATGACCAACGGTCAACTGGGACCAGACCGAAGGAACCAGTGCAGCTTGTTGTGACTGTGGGAAATGACAGCGTCTGAATACACTACATCAAACACACTAAAGTGGAGATAAGATTTAGGATGATGCACAGATAAATAACCTGATCGGATCAGACCAAAAACCCACAAACTTCTTCCAGCCAGTTAAAATAAAACTCTAAGCTCCAAGATGTCACACTCACATCTACACTGTGGTTCAATCAGGAAGAAGAATCAGAGTGACGTTTCCACTACGGGAAAGATTTTCAGAAAATAAATTTCTAAACATGTAGGAGGTCATGCTTCCACAGCAGAGAAACAAACTTCTTGTTCATTTCAGTGCTTTGCTGTTTTGGAAATGATTTGCTCCCAAATAATTACAGGTATGAATCATTTCTGACCAGCTCATTAAGTTTAAAGATCAACAAACCTTTACGGGTAAAATTGTTTTTTTTTTAAATGATGTTCTTAATGATTTCTCCAACTACGAAATACGCTGATGGTCTTAAAAAAAATCTTGATAAAAAGTTTGTTTACAAGTAAAAAGTGGGAATTTGATGCAACATCAAACTGATGTTTACAATGATTTCTACTAGCCTAAGACGCTACAGACTGTTTGAAATATTACCTTCTTTATACGGTAGTCTGTCTTGAAATGGTAAAACCAGGTTTAACAAAAAAACAAAAAAAAAGACATCCCCTCTGCTCCTTATATAAACATTTAGTAAACACTTGATGTAGGAGGGGGTAAAAGGAAATATTTTCTGTGGTCACTTAACTTCTGCATTTGCAAACCTTTCTCCATCCAGACTGGTTTGAAGTCTGTCAGAGCTGCAGTGAACTATCAAAATTCTCCCTTGATTGGGCTAAAACCTTCCTGATGTTTACAATCCACCATGTTTAGATTTCACCATAGAGTTTAAAGTTACTTTTCTTTTATATTCGGAGACGGGGGTTATAGTTTACATTTACAGCTCCAGAAATGAGAAATCCTTGAAAGCATCAGGAAATGAAGCGCCTTGCTTAGTCCTATTTTATTCCTCTTTGATACACTAAAAGCTTAAAGCAGAGTCCAATGTGTGCCTTCTGCAACTGCAGATCATAGGATCTAAGAAAATAAAGCACAGAATGCAAGACTTTGTTAAGTTGCAGCATCTGACCAAAAATGCTGTTGATGTTATTTATTTTTTAGGTGGATATTGGTTTATGAATGAAGGGCTGAGCATTGAAATAAACCTCTGTGTATTCTGTGGGATAAATGCATTATTTGTTGGGGTTGGATTTTGAATAAAGAGGATGTTCAGGGCTCTGGTTTGATGTCCTGTTTACAAAGCAACATTAAATGAAGGGACTATAGACCTCTTGAGTCATCCCAGTTTTTATTTACCTATAATAGAGGAAAATTGGAAGAAGTTCTGCAGCTACAGATCTGTTTCTGATAGCAAAATAAATCAAAACATGTTCTTATTTAACCCTGAGTAAAACAAAAGGTTTATCATGGTTGACATGCAGATATTTGGAGAAAATGGTGAAATCACCATCTTCTCCTAAGTTACTGCTATGAGATTTTTCAGAAAGAATTTGTGCATAAGAACAGTTCTTTCATGAGGCAGACTGGGTGCATCAGAGATGAATGAGAAGGTGAGTAAAGTGAGCTGGTAAGTGGCTTTGTGGCAGGTGTGGAAACAATCATCTGATCCTAAAGGGGAAAAAATCTAGAGAGAAGATTGTAGATTTCAGAAGAAAATGGAACTAGTCAAATACAGTTAATCCAGTCATGGGGAAAAAAGCTGGAGGTGGTGGAGAAGCATTGGGCAGCTGACTGGACTGTAAATGCAACTGAAGGGACAGCAGACTGTACTTCCTAAGGAAGCTCTGCTTCTTTAGTGCATGCACCGTGTGAATAGTGCCATCTCTTCTGCCATTGTCTGCTGGAATAATGGCATCAAAACAACCGCAGTTAAGTTAGTTATAAGTTGGATGATCGATAGATATTTCACAGATGCTCCGGTGAATCTCCTCTTCCCGCAGCAGCGGCTGTTCCAGGGAATCTTTACTGTGGTGGCCAATGGGCAGCTAAGGGATTTCCATAGGGGGCCACATTAGCATGGTGCCTGGCCAGGGGTGGTTCCAAAAAATCTGCATAGGACTGTTCAGGCAGGGGCCAGTATGCAATGAGAGGTGGCTGAAAACTGATAGGCGACAAAAACATCTTATGGTCAATCTATACTGATCAAAATAAACCAAAAGGACAATGAATTGTACACAACATCTATAAATCACTGAAGATAGATTTCATTAGGGTCCTTGATGATAAAGCTATGTATATATTTATTCATTAGTGCAGTTTAAATTAATTTATGGTTCTATATAACATATACATTAAATTAGTCGAGCAATATTTTTTCTATCTGTAGCGAAGATGACTGCAGAGACAAACTCTCCCATAAAACCTAAAACAAATCCATAAAAGAAAACATTCTATATTCATCCTCTTTATTTTTAGTAAAGTGTTGTGAATGATTTTATGCTGCATTTTTGTATTCAGCTTTTGGTTAATATACCAGCGTTAAAATGTCAAAGGAAGAAATTCCACATGATGGTATCACTGCTGCAACAATCAGGCTTAGGTATTGAATTAAATCCCAGGGTATCAACAAATCACCTGGTTGGGGTGACCAGTGATTGGCTATGGGCGGCACGATCCATACCATCAGCTCATTTACGCATATTCAAGCAGATATTCAATCAGGCTGCCAGAAATAATGTAATTATGGTACTAAAAGTACTTCTTTTTATTCTTAAATCAGTAAAGAATGCTAATATACATCTTAAAAAAATATTTGACTTTTCTTTAGTAGTAAGAGTACTCCGGCAAAATATAATTAAACCATGTTTGTCTCCATTTTAGTTGTTTCTTTCTTTCGATTCTGCACGGTATACCATAAGGTTTACACAAAAGGAAAAAAATAAAATAAAAAAAGATTAGATTCATGTTTGAATTCAAAGCCAAAAAAGTTAGCTCCCAGAAGTGGCGAAGGATCCCATTTCCAGGACAGGCCGTGCACAGACGAGTGATAAAACAGAACGGATTTTACTGCTTTACTTTTCTTAGGAAATACCGTATTAACCTTTAACACATTAGGGAGGAAAAAACTTTATTCAGATGTATTTTATAAAGTGCAATCAAGTGCGACCCGGATGTATATCTGGTTGCACATGTGCAAATTAGCTGATGGTGCTAGACGAGGGCGAATTTCTAATTGATACAATACTAAGTAAATACAGGGTCAGTATCGCCGATATGAATACGATACGGACACTTTTTACATTTAAACTTGATGTATCATGGCCTTGTTGACCTTTTGTGATTTTCATTTCATTGTTACAACTGAATAACAATATCAGTAATGTTCGGTTAATAGTGTTTTTTTACTAATCCACCTATTTTATATAATATATTTCAATCCTTATGTAATTTTGTTTGCATTGTGTGCTCTTGCCTGTTGCTTTAAATCTATAAATGCCCCGTTGTGGGATAAATAAAGGATTAGTTAATATAGCCCACTTACATACCTTTTTATTAATGCGATAAATATACTGGGTTCTTTCAAGGTCTTAATTACACTTTCTAAGTGGGTCCAGCAACATATGACATATATTATCTACTTTAAAAGTTAATATGAAGGTGATGACTCTTATCTACCTGGATATTCTTTTGAGGTCTGAACTTACCTAGACTTAGATTTAGACAACTTTTAGTCTTGTATTGTATACACAGAGTACATACAAAACAGAATTTCATTTAGTACAGATTATAGAGAGTAAATGAACATTTCCATTGTATAAAGTGCAGCAGTGATCAAATGTAAACAGAGTGGGAGAAAAAAACTGTGCAAAAATGCATTGATATGGAAGTTCAGAGCATTAATATAAAGACCTCTATCAGTGACGACTGTCTGAGGGTTGAGGTTCTGTCAGGGCCATGAGCCAAGTTTTGTCTCCTCTCTCCTTTTCCGTGGCTTGACGTTTTCTTGCTTATGGTTTTGCATGTATTTATATAAACTTTTAACCAGCTTTATACAAACCAGACAGCTTACCGTTGTTTCATTTACGGCATTATAATATAGACAAACTGTGCTCCGTTTCCTCTTCTTCATCTTTTTCTGCTCCGGCGTCTGAAAGGCAGCATCGCGTTTGTGTGTCGAGTGGAGAGAGAGCTGAGGTGCCAGGCTGAGCGGGTGACGAGAAGTGAAGGGGGAGCAGTAAAGTGCTGTAACACAGATGGGGAGACTGGTGAATCTGCTGCAGTTAGTGCATGTGGCAGAGAATAAGAAGAATCGATCTTGTTAAAGGAATATTGTTATCAATATCAGCTTTGGTATCGTACGAATCGTGCTACCAGTACGGATTGTGTGGTGACAGACCCCCCGGCCACCCCTTTAGATCCACCCCTGGCTCAAGCTACACTGTGAACGGAGGAAGAACTCTGAAATACTCCAAGTGCACCAGTATTACATACTTTATAGTAAAAAAAAGCACTGTGTACCGACTTCCTGTTTGCAAAATAAAAGTGTACTTTTTGAAGCTGAAAATCTATCGAGCTAAAATGTTAATAGTTAGGGCTATATATGAAATTAATTGAAAATATTTGGAGATTTCAAATGCAAAAATAAAAGGTGCATCTCATGAAGCCAGTGGAGTACCATGATCCCACACTGATTTTAAATCAATTGATCACATGACCTTGAAGCTCTTGAGCAAAAATGCCAATGATTTCATATAAAGATGAATCAAAAATATTAATGGATTTGAAATGCAAAAATAAAAAGCATAACTCTTGAAGCCAGTTTAGTACTATGATTCCACATTGACTTTGTGTACATTCACACTGCAACCTGAAGTGACCCAAATCCATTTTTTTTGCCCAGATTAGACCTGTATCTGATCTTTTCATGACAGTCTGAACAAAACAGATCTGATTTTTTCACCGGACCAACATTGAGCCTCCTATTCACCAGATTGTTGCACATAAACATGGTGTCTTCATTCAAAGGTATCTACAGATCTCGTGCAAGACACACCGCTACAGCTATCAGCATCTTCAACAGCCTTTTGAGTTACAACATTAATATCCCCAGTTAGATCAATGCATTTCTGAATAGAATAAAACACTGAAACACACAAAATTTCCCCTCTTTAATCCATATTTGTTTCCTCTCTCTACCAGACTTGGAAGACATGCAATCACAAATGTTTTGAATTCTATATGACCTCAGAAGTAAAACAAAAAGTCATAAAACCGAACAATTCAATTTAATTCAGTTTATTTATATAGCGCCAATTCACAACACGTCATCTCAAGGCACTTTACAGTTCACCAGATCATCCAGTCAGATTGATTCAAAGTTTTCTATCTAAGGAAAATCATTTGATTGCATCGACTCACTGACTCAAATGCAATCCCTCACACTAAGCATGCTTGTAGCGACAGTGGAGAGGAAAAACTCCCTTTTAACAGGAAGAAACCTCCAGCAGCACCAGGCTCAGTGTGAGCGGCCATCTGCAGAGGCCGACTGGGGTTCATGGAGACAGAAGCAGAGATACAAAAAGGTAAAAGGTGGTCCTGTCCAGGAAACACACAGCCAGACAGACGAGCTCTGAGCCAACTCATATATCAGAGGATGAAGAGAGCTCATCTAGCCAGTCACAGTCAGAGAAACAGGAGTAAACTAGAAAAACAGGTCGATCTCTAACATCTATAAAATAAGGTGTTTATGGCAGCAGCACAGCGCATATTTATCTAAAGGAATTTCAATTCAATTCAGTTTATTTATATAGCGCCAAATTCACAACACATGTCATCTCAAGGCACTTTACAGTTCAACCAGATCATACAGTCAAATTGATACAAAGTTTTCTGTCTAAGGAAAACCAGTTGATTGCATTGACTCAAATACAATCCCTCACACTAAGCATGCTTGTAGCGACAGTGGAGAAGAAAAACTCCCTTTTAACAGGAAGAAACCTCCAGCAGAACCAGGCTCAGTGTGAGCGGCCATCTGCTGAGGCCGACTGGGGTTCAAGGAGACGGAAGCAGATCAAGGAGACGGAAGCAGAACACAACACAACACCAGACATCCCAAGTCTCCCAGAAGTTCCCAGGAGTCTCCCTGATATCGATAGTTGTTCATGGATGCCGGCGAGTCGGATAAATTATCCCAGATTTCAGACTATGGGAGGTGGTGTTTTTTAATGAGAGCGAGAGCGAACGGACAATAATTCATGCATCATGTGAGCGCAACA